TTGCCTACAGACGTCCTATCTGACTTTGGATAAATCGCTGAATTTCCCCGTGCCCCAGTCTCTAGAACAAGGATACTCTTTACAAACCACAAAGAACTTATCCTTGCTCCTCTCCTGTGAGAGCGAGTAAAGCATTTCTGAGAGCCTCAGTTGAAAGTTGAGGACAGAATTACCCAGCATCACTTACTTCACTGTTCCACGCTTGCAGATCTGAGCAGGTATCGTGGTAGGATTCCTAGTGATGAACCCTTGTGCAGGTATTGCACAAACACATAATAAGATGGTGCTTACCCCCCAGAGAGTTTACAACCAAAGTATAAGAGAAGAGACAACAGGTGGATGGGGGAGTACAAGAAAACAATGAGATTGTATTTGGTGGCATGATAGGTAGTGGTTTCAGCACATACCTATTTTGGATCTTCTAATATTTTGAAAAGCAAGTAGATTGCAGAGTACAGTGGCTTAAAGTGGTGATAAGACAGGCTACCTTGAAGGCCTGTTCAGACTCCTGCTGTCATCAGCTTAGTAACTACTTGAGCATTGCTAATATAATTAATAATCATGCCTAGCTACTTCAGCCGGCACGTCTAGTACATATATAAAAGGGTTGGGCTATTAGAGTTCACCATATATCCCCTAGGGTTATCTTTTCTAATGGGATTATACATCACGCTTATTCACTGATGCTCATGTGTGTTGAGATCCTGTCCGCCTGGAGACACGGCATCACACAGCCTCCCACTAGATGGCACTATTCATCAATCTATCACTGAAGGCTCAGCTGGAGTACAACCGTGGTAAATGGGATGAGGGGGGCAACACTTTTTGTGGTGGTGGTGGTGGTGGTGGTAGTAGTAGTGTCTGTCTGAAACTTTCTGACCTGGAAGGAAAACAATCACTGACTCCAAATAACTGTGTTGGGGTCCCGCTCCAAGCTGTCAAAGCTTTTCAAAACAAACCGCCCGTTGTGATCCATCTTAGAATCATAGAATATTAGGGTTGGAAGAGACCTCAGGAGGTCATCTAGTCCAACCCCCTGCTCAAAGCAGGACCACCCCCAACTAAATCAGACCAACTTCTGTGGTCTTAAGTTTAATTACCGACTTTCTCTTTAGAATAGACTTCCTGATTCATACAACTTAGTTGGAAGGCCATAGTTTTTGGGTTTAATGCTATCCTCGCTGCTTTCAGATGGTCAGGTAGTTACTATTTGTATTGGGGCCTAGGGGCCACAACTCATTCTGCTAAGCACCGCACAAACACGGACCAGGACAATTCTGGTAAGCTCTTTGGGACATAGACTTTGCCCTTTCTGAGACCCCCTTACAATGCTCGTGTCACCATGTACAGTACAAGCCAAAACAATCTTGACAAACCGCTTTTCCAGTCCAAATGTGCCCCTAGCCCATTACTACCTTGGAACATATCTGCACAGAGTCCCCCAGCCCCCACGATGATAAACGTGGGAGCAGTTATAAGTGGCTGGGCTAGAAATGAATTGCTGTAGTTGTTCGGTAACTGCAGGGACCTTTCAGCCTTCATTAATAGGAAAATCACTGAGAATAGCCTCCTCCTCCTCTGGGAGTTGTGGTGGGAGGCAGCACTAGAGCGGTATTTGCTGCCTGCCTGCTGTCTGTCTAACTTCTGGTGTACAGTTGAAGTAGATGGCTCAAAACTCTAGTCGCTGGGGGTACGCCGAGCGTGAGGCGCTTCTGGAGACCCTTGCAGTGGAAACACCTTATGGAAAGCAGGCACCTCAGATGCGGTAACACGTTTGAAACCAGCTTAGCACAGCTACAGATGTTGGCTTCTCAACTGCAACATCCATCTGTATTTAAGGAAGTCTTTCTCCATCTCTCCCTGATCCTGCTGCTTTCACAGGTTCTCCTTATGCTATTGTGATTCCCTCTCCCTCCAGGGCTGACCAGGGAAGTGTAGTGATCTAGTCTGTGTGCATGCGCACGCTCTGAAATGAACGCGAAATCCCATTACCTGTGCCCAGACATGTCCTGACCTGCACTACGATTGCATCTTGCATCCACTCCACCCTTAACCTAGTTCCCTTTTCCAGGAGAGTCTCAAGTGAGAATCTGTGTATCGCTGCGGCCTCTGTTTATACATGAGCGAAGGAATGTTGGCAAGAGGTTACAATACCAGACTGGGAGTCTGGAGAAATTCAATATATTCCTAGCTCTGCCACTGACTACTGGTGTGACCTCAGGCCAGTCACTTAAGCTCTCTGATTTAGTTTCCTCCCTTTAAAACAGAATGTGGATACCTATCTCACAAGTGGACTGACTGATTTAATGAACGTTGAACGTGCTCTTGGGCCTGGTCTATGCTACATGGTTAGGTCGACGTAAGCTGCCTTACATCGACCTAGCTGTGGAAGTGTCTTCGCTTAAGTTTGGCTCCCACCGCCGCAAATGCCTCTCTGTACTGATTTAGTAATACCAGCTCGACAGTTACTAGCCTTCAGGAGCCGTTCTGCCATGCCCCACACTGACAATACAGCGATAGAAGCGTTCCTGGTGAGGATGCACACTGCCAACACAAGAAGCCAAGTGTGCGCACACACAAGTGATTTAATAACTGCGGTGGCTGTATGTTGTCGTAAATTAGGTGGATCTAATTTGTAGCGTAGACATGGCCATAGATGGAGGGGCTATGTAGTGTCATGTTGATTAAATAGAAACAAGACCTTGCTAGGAACTTGCAAAGACCGTTCAGTCAAGCTGCCCATTCTTGTATTTAGTGGATGTTGTGGTGGTTCATAATCTTACTTTCAACCCTCTCCTCTAATGTCAGTCACATCTGTCTTCCTGATGATCTTATTTTACCTGCTGCTGAAGAGTCTGTCAGTCCACGAGCTGTTGTCCTCGGTAAGAACGAGTTGGAAACTTTGGTTAAGCCTTTACTTTGAGATTATATAACTGTATTTTGCCTGGGTGGTTTGCACTATTAAATGTTGTGTGTACCCACACTATTGCTGTGCCATCTAACCTAGTGCTCCTTGTGTTAGTCTCTGCGTTAGTATCTTGTAATTTCTATCGTTCCCATACAGCGAAAGGCACTTAAGTTTTGGTCCAGGATATCGCTTCCGTCCTGCAGCAGTCACGGGTTTAAATACAAACCCCTCCGCTTTCAAACTTGGGAGACGTAAAAACGAAAGGGGTTTTTGTCAAGATGAACTTGCCCAGACTGTACTTGCTGCATGTTCAGTCGCAGTCAGCCATTGGTTAACTCCTATATTATGCACGAGTTGGATAACATTTTGATAATGCCACCCGTGACTTAAATCAAGCTTGTAGCTTTAAAATGTTACTTTCAATGTTTTTGGAGGTTTATAGTACTAAATTTGGAGTGGTTTATAGTACTTCATTTTGGAGTGGGCCAGGTGTGTGTGTCTCTTCTGAATCATTTTTCTCATCCCCAATTAGAAACCATCCTTAGTTGACAATTAGGAACTTCATAGGGTAACAGTGATAATCCGGTCACCATCTCTGAGGCTTAAAGAGACTTCTAGGAGCTAGGAATGGGAATCAGAAGTTTATAGCTCAGATTAGCCTGATAAAATCCTAGAAGTCAGAGGTAACTTAGTGCACCCAGCTGCCACTGTAGGGTTGTCTCCTAAAGTCCCGTTTTTTGTGGCAAGAAATACTGCACTCACATCCTTCATATCCTTGAAATTGCAGTGCTGTGTTTAAAAGTGGGCAGGCCCATAATAGCACACGCCTGGGGCCAGCGGCATGCCTGGCTCCAAGAGCGATAGAGCCTGAGCCAAGCTAGTGAGACTATTTCTGGTGTTAACTGTCTGGTGGTTTGATAGGTGTATGATCAGTTCTTGTGTCTCTGCTCATGCTCCAGCTCGCAAAGCTCAACCAGATCCCTTGGCTTGGCTCTGAGTCTCCCGGCTTGGCCACGTCTAAATGGTAGACTCTAGGCCAGGGGCGGGCAAACTTTTTGGCCTGAAGGCCACATCGGGTTACCGAAATTGTATGGAGGGCCAGTTAGGGGAGGCGGTGCCTCCCCAAACAGCCAGGCATGGCCCGGCCCCTGCCCCATCCGACCCCCCCTGCTTCTCGCCCCCTGACAGCCCCCCCCGGGACTCCTGCCCCATCCACCCCTCTCTGTCCCCTGACCGCCCCCAGAACCCCTGCCCCTGACTGCCCCCTGCTGCCCCATCCAACCCCTCCTCTCAATCCTGATTGCCCCTCCCGGGACCCCTGCCCCATCCAACCACCCCTTCTCCCTGACCGCCCCCGGAACCCCTGCCCCTGACTGCCCCCCGCCACCCCATCCAAACCCCCCTCTCCTTCCTGACTGCCCCCCCCAGGACCCCTGCCCCCATTCAACCTCCTGTTCCCTGCCCTCTGATCGCCCCGACCCCTATCAACCCCCCTATTCCCCACCCTCTGACCGCCCTGACCCCTATCCACACCTCCGCCCCCGACGATCACCCTGAACTCCCCTGCCCTTTATCCAAACCCCCCCGCTCCCTGCCCCCTTACCGCGCAGCACAGAGCACCGGGTCAGGCCAAGGCTCTGCAACTGCAGTGCCCGGCAAGAGCTTGCTGCCCAGAGCATTGCGCCAGTGGCGGAGCGAGCTGAGGCTGCGGGGGAGGGGGAACAGCGGGGGAGGGGGAGGGGGCTAGCCTCCCCGGCCAGGAGCTCAGGGGCTGGGCAGGCGGGTCCCGTGGGCTGGATGTGGCCCGCGGGCCGCAGTTTGCCCACCTCTGCTCTAGGCTCTCCCCTAGGCTTTCATGTGACCATTATTGGATTTGTTAGTCTACACTAGATTACTTAAATGTATGGGGTAACCCTTTTATCCTAGCCCAAAGAAGGCCTTGGGCTGAGTATAACAGAGGCAAAACAGACTCTAGAGAAATGTCAGGGTTTGTCTTAATCATCCTACCTTCTAATCTTGCTGCTTAGTCCAATTATACAGTAAGCTCTCATTTCCTTGTAAATCTGACCTTTAATTGTCTCTGTCTTTACAGTAAAGCGCTTTCAGGAGCCAAAAGAAGAGAGGCGTCCCTGGAGGATCTGGTGAGAAATAGCTTTTTTAAAAGCTCTGAACTAAGGAGAATAGATTCTGTCTCGCAGAACGGCTTTTTGTGTTTACTCTGACCATTAATGGGCTTCCAGGTCCTTCCTGTTCCTAAACGTTTAACAGGGAAATAGTGAACAGACTGCAATTCTTAGTGGTGTTACTTCCTATAAAGTTCCCATCACATTATAGATGAAATTGATTGAAATACTGTAATCCCAGATGCTACAGGGTATTTGGCCCTGTTTAGTACCTTTTACTGTTCGTTGAGAAGTCTCCAGGCATTACCAGCTCACTATCATTAGCTCCAGACAGCTGTATGCAGTTCCCAACATAACGTTTGTTACGCTGCAGTGAGAGCCAAGTTAAGAAGCCTGCTACACCTGTGCATGTGTAGCTAAGGGATGTAGAAACAGGTCTCATATCAGGGACTGAATGGCTTCGTGACCGTGCAGGAGAACCTCTCATCGCTAAGGGTACGTCTACACTTACCGGAGGGTCCGGCGGCAGGCAATCGATGTTCTGGGATCGATTTATCGCGTCTGGTTTAGACGCGATAAATCGATCCCGGATCGATCCCGGAAGTGCTCGCCGTCGACGCCGGTACTCCAGCTTGCCGAGAGGAGTACGCGGCATCGACGGGGGAGCCTGCCTGCTGCGTCTGGACCCGCGGTAAGTTTGGACTAAGGTACTTCGAATTCAGCTACGTTATTAACGTAGCTGAATTTGCGTACCTTAGTCCGAAGTGGGGGGGTTAGTGTAGACCAGGCCTAAGATACCAGCTGACAGGGCCGGCTCCAGGCACCAGCTTGTCAAGCAGGTGTTTGGCGCGGCCGCTCCGGAGAGGGGCGGCACGTCCAGGTATTCGGCGGCAATTCGGCGGACAGTCTGTCACTCCGCCTGGGAGTGAAGGACCTCCCGCCGAATTGCCGCCGCAGATCGCGATGTCGGCTTTGTTTGTTTGTTTTTTGTTTTTGTTTTGGCTGCTTGGGGCGGCCAAAACCCTGGAGCCGGCCCTGCCAGCTGAACCCGGCCCAGCTCAGTAGTCACCAAAAGCTTTCGCAGTCTCCTGTCATCTTACATGGGCTCTGAACAAAGTTGGTGATTCAGTCCCGTTCCATCGGGAAAAAGCACCATCACAGTTGGTGCTGACTTCCTTCTTGCTGGCAGCCTCAGCCGGGAGGCCCAGGCCTGAATGGGCTTATGGAGGCTCAATTCTCCTCCCCCATCCCCACCCTGTTTCCTAATAGCGCCCTCACTAATGCTGCATTCAATGTGCCGGGGCCTCACATCCAGTGAACTCTCTGAAATGCATGTCTGGGAATGGTGTAAATCCATGAGTCGCGCTTGCTGCTCCTTGTGGGGGTGGGGTTTTCAAAAGCACTTGGCACCGGCCTACCTCTGCTCCCATTTACTTCAATGAGAGCTTCTGGGAATCCCACCTGTGGATTACAAAAGCTCCTTGTGCCCGGCTTGATCTGAGATCCCCATCTTCACCAGTGTGATTTCGTGTGCCGGCTAACACTCTCCTGCTGCTATTGGAAAGGTTGTTGCATCTAATCTTTTCAGGTTTTATGATACCTCCAAGCAAGCAATAGGTGCCCTCTTCATCCATTTTGCTAATGTTTTCCTGTCTGGTCATACTGCAGAAGATCCCTGCTCTCTGTGAGTATAGCATTGTGTTTGTGTAGCCAACGCACCTTCTGGGTGTGGTGTTCTGTCCCGGAGCGGGGGAGAGAGAGTTGGCTCGCTCTACAGCCTTAGCTAACATCTGGTTGGCTTTTAGCTCATGCGGTAGAGACTCGTGCACTAAGCTCTAGAGGTCCCAGGTTCGATCCTGCCCGCCGACGCCCAGGGTCTATCGGTGTTACACTTGCATTAATGTTCTATTGTTGGGACTGGAGGAATCTAAATTCGCTTGCATCTATCGTCTCTACTGTAGAAACAGACGTTGACTTAGATCCTCTTAATGCTGTTAATTCTCATCTAACAGTCTGTGTTTCTCATCTGGGTGGAGGCATCTGGGGTTTTCAAAGTATCTGGCGCTCTACTGGAAGTGCAAGAATGAATGTGCAGCTGCGTTCCTGGTCCACCGGCGCAGTTATTTGGGAGGCAGAGCTGTCCAATGGCTGAGATTCTGGAGATCTGGGCTCAGTTGTCAATTGCTGTGTGACCTATTTGGGGCAGAAGGAAGATTTTTCCCCGTCCTTGTAAAGTACTCTGAGACCTATGGATAAAGTGCCATATACATATTGATGGATAATATAGTTGCACATTATAACTGCATTTGGTACATATGCAAGCTAAATGTGTACTTGTCTCTTGCACGTCTGACTTTCTGAAATCAGGCCTTTTAGAGGAGAAGCATAGTTTAAAATGTCTGCCTTTACCTGTGCTATTAGTACTTCATACTATTAAAGCCATAAAGATGTGTTGAAATCTGTTACTCTTGTTTTTCCATCTGATTTTCATTCAGTGTCACTTTCTGGCTCTCCCACACTAGCGTTTGCGTTCACACTATTGTAGAAGGCTGGGGGAGGGGTGTAAATCAAAAGAAAGACTTTGCCTTTCTTTTACCACACGTCATTTATTCATACTAGACTTAACTCCTCCTCAGTTTTTTTTGACTAACTCCATTAGAATTACTTGGAAACGTCTCTGGCCTTTGGTATACGGGAGGTCAGACGAGATGATCACAATGGTCGCGTCTGGCTTTAGAATCTCTGAAAGCCCAGCTATAGCTTTAAAAAAAACCAGTTGGCTCTGAAAAAAATTGGTAGTATCTCTTTAAATGGTGTTGGCCCAAAGTTGAACCTACTCTTCTAATTTGCAAAGTCTGTGA